CTTCGCGACCGTCAAAGATCCAAAAGACGAAAAAAAGGACGGAGGGGAACTACGGAGGCGCGGGCGATATATCAGTGCCTGTTTCACTTTTTTCCTCTCCTTGCCCAGTGACTCAGCGGGAGGCAGCAAAACAGGATCTGGTACAATACCATACAGCTTACGGCGTCATTGGCAAGTGATTTTGGCTCTGGCAGTCTGTCACACTGTTACCGGTCTGGTCTCGTTCGTCCAGCTCCTATGGCGGAGGGCACTTGGCTGCATTGGGAAGGTGGCGGAGGTCAGGTCACTGCCGGTATCGGAAGTAAGGGCTCAGGGCTCAGGGCTCAGGGCTAGGGCCGGGAATAAATTCAAGATATCAGACTCTCTCAAGGGTAGATCAGTGATGACACCCACATATGAGCATATCCAATTCATCATGCTCGGTCCCAGAGAACCCCATCTCTAACTTTTGTGGAAGACGCTTCTAGAAATACATGACTGACACAGAGGCTACCTAACTGTAGAACAGGCCCAACCATTTCAGAACGCCGAACCGCCAACACCCGTGCCATGCGAAAAGACCGTGGGCAAGAAAAGTCGTAGGGGTATATCTATCTAGCCTAAATCAGTTTGCCTCCATTCAAGATCCATTCCCGCATCTCTCCGAGCTTCACAATGCATTTGCGATGGTTCTCACGAGCGACCTCCCAATGTTTCTGCACCCTTTCATCCTCGTCAAATGCACGCAAATAAGCACTGAATCCTGCTTTGGCGCTTCCGGCCACCATAGCATCGTCGCTCTCAAGGTGGTCATCATCTTCATGCACTCTTTCATCATCCTCGCCACTCGGCTCGTTGATCTTAATACGTGTGGAATCTCCAACAGCGCCAATCCAGTTTGGGGCCATTCCCGTTTCCATCGCTTCCTGGCGTGCGTTGAAGTGACGCAGAAGTCGACGATTGAAGGCGTTCCACTCTCGGATGTAGGCACCCATCTCTGCTACATATCGGTCCCAAGCGCCTCGAGGCAGTCCCAGTTGCTGGGATCCTGCGCTGATTGGAACTAGCTCCGGTGGACTGGGTCTTTTGGGTGGATTTGGACAAATGAGCTGCCTAGGACGAACATCCCGTACCGTCGTCCTTGGAACCTTCGCGCGAGATTCAAAGGGCAACGTCGCATGAATATCCTGCAAATCCTCAATGCCACCACTATTCGTGCTGCTAAATGGCGCTGTGCTGCTTAGGTCATTCAGGTTGAATAAACGAGACTTAGCCTTGACACCAGCATCTTTGCTGTCAATACCTGAAGACGGCTGAGGGACTTGATCTTTGGATGCTTTGTCTGTTTGAAAAGCCGCATTGGTGTTTTTGCGAGGGGTATCATCATCGATATCCATGGCTTCCACTTCCTCAGCACCTGCACCGGACGCCTCCTGCTTTGCGCTACCTCCGACAGTCGTCTGGGACTCTTCGGCTTCTGTCGCAACACTGGCGGGTTGTGGTGTAGGGCGCATCTTAAACCCTGATTTGGTCTGCTTCTTAGGGCTTCGTTGGCGTTGAGTATTCGCCTGCTGCCGGGCTTCCTCGTTTTGCGGCATGGCCCACTGCCCATCCTTGAGTTTGGCAGCCCACTCGTCCACCGAGAACTTTGCCTCAGGAAACGCTGCGGGCGGTTGCTGCGAAACCGATGCCGACCGAGACGAATCCTGGCTGAATGGACCCGGCTGGCCTGCTCTTGAAGGACTTCCTCTTGTTGAGGTTCGTCCACGGCTACTCGAATGACGGTTGAACTCAGGTCGGCCATTCTCTGCCGCGGTTGATGTAAATGACCCAAACTTAAAATCGCCTTTCCAATTATCAGCAGTAAATGGTTTGCGTAAATCATCGTGACTGCTACTCTTGAAAGTTCCATGTGGTGGTGCTTGGCCAGCCTTAGGCGCCGGATTTCTACAGTTGAAGAAGTTAGCCTGAGAGATACATTAGAGAGAGCCAAGGCGAAGGTCTCATACGAGTTTGACGAGAATGCACCGAAAATATTTTCAGACGACGCTGGCTTGGCGGAGTCTGATATCTGTTAGTACCTGAAAACTCATGCACCGATTCGATGGACATTCAATATGGAGTAGTCCAGCAGAAACAAGCCATCGAGTGCTTGTCAAATGAGAAGGAGAAGGAGGCTTACCCGTCCTAGGAGCGGAACCAGCCTGAGAACGAAGATTGGCAAACTTGTGGTTTTGCAGCCTGCTCTTCGGAACCGCCTTTGGTTTGCGAGAGAAGAAATCATCCTCGGTGCCACTTGAGCTTGTGGAGTCGTAGTTTTGACCTCTGTCACTTCGCAACTTAGGGCTGGCGCTTTTGTGTCTCCCAGTAGGGGGAGGAGTCGGACTTGGGGGGTTTGTCCGCGATTGAGCGCTGGGGCTTTTCGGTGAATTGCGCACGCCTTCAGAACGAAGCCAGGAACTCGAGAAAAATGTTCTCTCGCCGCCGGTACTGGCATACTTACTGCCTGTTCGCTCAAGATCAGGAGTTCCAGTGTTCTCAGCTCGATAGCCGGACGTTGCCGCAGGTCTCTCCGCCGTCGGGGAGGGTGCAGCTTCTCTCTGAAAGCTTTCGGGCGCCTGAAAGCGGTCCCTTCGAGGTACACTGGTGTAGGAGGATGTATTTGCAGCCATGGGTTCATCCCCGCCAGCGGTCCGGGGAGCGAAGCCTTGCTTCTTCCGTGTGGACTGGGTACGGAATGACTCGTTTGTGGAGGTTTTGGGGGACGTCTTGAAGTACTCGTATGCGGACTTCGGTCTAGTGGGATGCCCGTTAGGAGTGGCATCCGGTCGAGGGGCAGCCCCTGTATATCCTGCTCTTCCAGTACGCGGATCAAAGTGAGACCATCCAGGCGTGGAGTTGCCCTTCATCTCCTGAAACCCACGATACGCATCAGCCCTGGTCTGTCCTTCATCCTGCGTCTTCTCCCACGGCTGCTTGGGGGCCGCTCTCGCGTAGCTCGCGTAACGCTGAGCGCCGGTCGAGGGCCCATTATAAAAAGATTGCGGGCGACCTGAGAACGGCGGTTTAGGAGTCTGAGGCATCGTGGTGGATGCGGAGGCGTAAGGGGTCGCAGGAGCTTTCCGAGACGTGTTCGCCTTGGGTGGACCATAAAGCTTGCCGTATCCAGCACGTAGTCGGTCTGTATCGTATCTCAGGCGCTGTTGGGGGTCACTGAGAATTTCGTGGGCCGCTTGAATAGCCTGGAACTTGGCGTTGAACTCGAGCTCCCGGCCTGGATTTCGATCGGGATGGTACTTGAGGGCTGAAATGAATTAATCACCGACTCGCAAAAAAAAAAAAAAAAAAAAAGCCCTGTATGCAATCCCTCGCCTTACCTAATTTCCTGAACTGCTTCTTGATGTCTTCAGCGTCCGCGCTGGGCGTCAGACCCAGGTCCGCATAATAATCCCTCCGCACGTCCGCCTTGACCATCGTGGGCAAGCAGCGTAACCCTCAACAGCCTTAAATATGTGTATTGCCAAATGAACGTGTTTCAGGCGTGTCGCTCAAAAGTCCAGTCGCGTTTCACATGACGTGACCCGTAACAAGAAGCACTATTGTGAGGTCCGTAGGACAAAGCGGTCTCGATCAAAAGAGTGGCAGACAGGTTAGGCACAGCTCTCGAAGCAGGTGAGAGAAGGGAAGGGAAAGACTACCGGCTCTGTGAAGGAAAAAGGGAACGACCTAGAGCAAGAAAAATATGCAAAGGATTGATGAGCAGATAGAAGTGAATGAGCTGCACTCTGCAGTCTGCAGCAGTAAGGAAAAAGATTGCTCTCCCCCGCGATCGAAGGAGTCCACAACAGTTTGGTTATTGGTATAGCTTCCGCCAGCCGACAGAACCCAGCCTAACCGGAACCAGAAAGCTCCAAACAGTCCAATCGACAGATTCAGAGAAGGCGTGGTCGATATCTACTGCAGTCGGTCAATCTTTCCTCTTTGGTGATGTGTCCGTCTTGTGGTATTTTAGGTATTTATTGTGTTGAAGGCGAGATGTCACTGGCGACGACACTTGATTATCCCCTCGGTGTATCAGATCGTCAGAGACAAACAGTTCTTCTTCTGGTTTCCTGGAAGCAAATTTCCGCAAAGAGAGAGCATGGTCTCTTTCGTCGAAGAGTCAAAGACACCAGACACCGAAACCTAGTCACGGTCGCAGTGGACGAGAGGCGCAGTCACCACAAGGGAGCGACAATAGGCCTGACTCTCCTGAAAGGCAGTGGGAATTACAGCTGATCTGATAGAGAGGTAATGACGAGGAGAAAAGCATCTGAATGATCTTCAAGCTCGCGTTGGTGACTTTGGCTCGATCCAAGCGTCAGAGTGGAACTGGGAGATCCTCACCCCGGCAACCTCACGGGACGGACACAGACTTGTCGGATCTTTGCTCGTCGGCCTCAGCGAAGACTCGAACACTTCTAGAGGAACAGATTCTGGGAAACAAGGAGATAAAAGAATACCAAGCGATGCACAATCTGCAGACATATAGCCGCACACGAAATAACCATGAGAGCTGTGCGCTGGCTTGCTGCGACAATTAACCTTTTCTGGTGATTGGATGCATCCCACATGGCTGGTCTCCACAGGACAACAAACTACTCTCACCATTATTATCTCGTAGTACTGGACTTGCTGCCCAAATTCTTATGGCGCTGGCCTCACTCTATCCCTATGGTCGAGAGTTCAGAGATTAGATGGTCAAATTTCTGTAATGGAACCTGCAAGATACCACCATCGTCCGATAAATGGAATATGTGCTACTACATATACTATGTAGGATATAATATATAAGAACATGTTATAACAACATTCAAGAACCAATAGCCAATCCATGCACTCAAAGTCTTGGACAAGTACAAGCGAGGTGTCGTAAATTCATGTCGCCTTTTATTCTCACACCCCAGGTAGACCCAAAGACCCGCAAGCAAGATGCCGTCAAGGAAAACACAAAGAAAGAGGAACGGAGACGAGAACCTCACTCACCCATCGCCTGGTGGATTGCCCGCTGATCCCCCGAAGAAATAACCTTCGAGCATATCGTAATTGGCATTCTCGCTCCAGTCATGCTGGAAGTCGACCGCCATGCCGAATCCGAGGTCGATTCCAACACTATGACCAACTCCGTGACCCAGCGAGGGTATGGCTGACATGTTATACTCGGGATTACCATCTGAGCCCGCGGAAACTGTGTTTTCCGCCGCCGTGGATTCAAAGTCTAAGAAATCAAGGCTGATCCCTGCCGCACTCTCTTGGTCCGCGGCCGAGAATTGAGGCTGGCCTGCATTGGGGGCGGCGCTGCTTGAGGATGCGCTGTGCTGCGGGGAATTGTTATAGAAATACTGTTGCTGCTGTGTCTGTGGAGAGACAGGATTTTCGTAGCTTCCATAATACTCCATAGATGGTGTCCGTTGAGGATGAGGCCGGGGCGGAAGGTCGGCGCCAAAGTTCGGCGTCGATGACTCTGGGTACTCGGCTCGCATTGGATACGTCTGCACCGGCTTCCTCGTACCGCTGCCGGCGCGATCCGGAACGGGCCCAGGATCATTGAAGAGGTCGCCAAGGTTCATGTCGAATTTTGGCAATGGTCGAGACTGGCGTGTCTGCGTCTGCCGCCGAGGGCCATGGGTATAGCGCTGTCGTTGCTCCAAAGCGGATCTTCCAGAACTCCTCGTTCGGCCTGTATAACCAGTATGATGCTGCTGAGATGCAATTTGAATTCGAGATAAATCTACCTGAGATCCAAATCCGGTAGTCGATAAGCTCATCTGAACGGTGGCTTTGCTCATTCGTTCAAAGGCATCTCGACAAGCTTCTGCCGGGGGACACTTGTGCATCAAGTCCCCAAGGACAGATGTTGCGGCAAGCACAGTGAAATCGACTTCGTCCAACGTCTACAACGGAATTAGTTAACTATTATTTTGCTTCCTGTTTAGTCGTGAGGTACATACCAAGCGACTTCGCACGAAAGGTGAGTGCCATATCGCATACAAAAATGAAATACCTAGAACAGTGTAAGCAGCGAGGCAATAGAGAGCGAGGGACTCTGTCATACCCGCCATAAATATATGATGTGTTGCAAGATATGTATAGTTCACTAGTCGGACACGGTGCATCTGGCGATAAATACGGATAACTTTCTGCCCTGCCTCTGCAACCTTGTAGTATATGTCGTCTTCATCTTCAGCGTCGTCCACATTCGAGAACGACGGGCTGGAGACATCCTCCGCCGGTGTCAGCTCTCCGGCTAATTCCGCAGGAACCGTCAAGCTCTGCTGATAGAGCATGATGATGGCCTGCCAGTAATTGAGTTCAAGAAACTCCACCGAAAACTGCACCCCTGTTTCGCTACGGGTGGGCGCGCTTTCCTGCCACTCTCTCAATCGCCGGTGAACATCTTTGCGCCATGAGCGGAATGAGTCGAAACCTTGAAGGAAGGGAGACGCAAGGTCAGAGCGGATAACTGTATTTGCCGAATATGGGTCCTTTTGCCGCACGAACCGGGCTTGTTGATGTTGAAGGACATCTTGAATCTCAGATTGCAGCACCCGCAGCTTGAAGTAATGGTGTGCCGCATATTTGTAGCTAGGGGCGCCTTCAGGTGGCGTGACAATACCAGACTTGGTGATATACTTGTCCTCGAGAAGGGACGGGAATTCGGTACTAATAGCTTGATCGCTGATTCCAAAAGGGCGACCAACACAGCAACTGACGAGACGATCAAAGCTGTAAACACACCACCACAATCGCCGGCGAAGATCGCGAACCCATTCTCGACGGCCACGCTCGCGAGTGTGGATCCGCAGCTTAGCTTTGTTCTCACCCTTGATAGACGGGCGATCGAGGCTCTCTTCGCCGACCGAGTCGATACCAGTTCCGTCCTCATAATGAAGACCAAGGTCAACCGCTAGTCGCATAGCGACTCCGACAATATACCAAAGGCCCGGCGCGACGGGCCGAAGAAGGGCAAAACTGGCCAACAGGAGGACGGCTTGCAGCTCCTCCAGCGCACCGAACCCGTCGTTCGATGACGAAGCGCCGAGGAAAGACTCCAGATGAATAATGGCAGAGGCATGGTACTCTTCTGGTTGATGCTGATGGCTGGAAAGCCGCGGCCTCTTTGCAGTGGATGAGGATGGTGAGCGGCTGCGGTTGCTCTGCTTGTTGTCCTCATCATCCGAGCTGTTCTTATCTTCGAATATGATACCTGCACCAATGGCAAAGACAATATTTAGGGTATAAAGGCTGCGAGAAGAGCGGTCCTTTTCTTCAACTGAGTATGTCCGATCGAGGAGTTCCATGAAATCCTCCCGGTGGAGGATAGGCATCTGCGGGTTTGCATGCTCGAAATAAAGGTTGACAAGCTTTTCCGCCAATTCTCGGTCAGGGAACGCCGCGCACTTCATCATTGGCCTTGTCTGAAGACCGAAGAACGAATCCCGCATGGCACTCCCTGCGGTTCCTGTAGCACTATGCGGCAAGCGTTCGCTGGGCCGCATAGGTCCGCGCTCTGCGACGTTGCCGGCAACGGAGCTCTTCACCGCAGCGAAGACGACACGCGCAAAAGAAATTCCTGAAGTCGACCCCAGATAGCGTGGATCAGAAGTCCCTTGCACCGATACCATGCCAATATTCGACACGAGATTGTGTATGCGCCAATTGTCCTCCTGTTCATAATCCCGGCTGTTCTCCGGATCCTGTTCACTCTCCGGGTTCCTTCCCGATCGCTGAACCAGAGCGTCCTTCTCTCCTTTTTGCCGAACCCATTTGTCGCTTTTGACAGCGGTAGTGGTAGAGGTCTCGGTACCCACCGATCCTTCCGCGCCAGACATCTGTGGCTGAGCCTGGTCGTATCCCGCCTCTACCTTGATAGCCTCCTCTTCATCAAACGCCATAGCCTCTTTAAATCCAATCTGGTGGTCCGTCAACGTTTTCTCTAGGTAAGCGACGCGGGCCTCGAGGAAATAGACATAGCTGCGCGGAATCTCGCGTTTAGTGATGGGATCATATCCGACGCAGCGCACACCGGCCTTCTCACAGGACTGACACCGGGGGAGTCGCTGGTCGCAGCGGTTCTTACGCAACCGGCATCGGTTGCAGGCGGAGACATTGCGGAAGGAGGACGAGGACGAGGAAGTCGTCACGGTGGCCGGGGGGGCTTTCGCAGCGCCATCGCGAGAGGCCTGCTGCTGCGTTTGCGCCGCAGACTCCGGCTGGGTCGAGGAGCGTTCAGCAGGGGGGTGTGGTCGTTTCCTCCCGAGAGAGGTAGGCGAGACCGGAGAAGCAGGGTTCAACATGACGGGAAAGGCGAGACGGGGAGAAGGGGCGCAGAGATGCGACGACCATGTCTCGAGAATGGAGGTCTGTCACAGGTCAACTGAAACGTAGAGATAGTATGCCGAAGACTCCGAGACGAATCAGCATTCATGTTAAGTCATACGGCTTGGTGCTTTTTGGCCGCTTTCCCAGCTGAGTATTTCGCTTTGATAAAGGAATCGCGTTTAACGGGAAAGTTACTCCTCAGTTGTATCCCGATCCGCGGGCTTTTTTAGTCTCCGAGATGATAGTCAAAGCAATGGTCGAATCTGTTTGGGCGGCAGGGCACAGTTGCAGCCCATGTCGCGAATGGCTTGCCACAATCACAGGGAGATATTGATAGACAGAGCAAAGGAAAATGAAGCGGAATTGGAGATACTGGAGTTCGAAGAAAGAAAAATATCCACGATGAAGGTTGGAGATAGGACGAAACTGTGGGGGGTGTCTTCGAGACTCCGGTACCTAGGATTTTAGCGGCCGATGCTGGAAAGTACGTATGGAGAATACCACCTCGCTAAGCACTCTTGGGAGGAGGCAGCAATGACGATCTTTTGGAGGTAATCAATTTCAATGGACAATAGCAGAGGGTTACTTATAGAGCTAGCTAGCTGAAACAATCAGTCATCGCCCGAATATCAACGAGGATCTATGGAAGACTTCGTGTTGCTGTCGGTAACAATACATAACAGTACCCAAACTGCTCCACGTGAGAAGCAAATATGCTCAAGAGATGATTGGCTGTTGATAAGTCAATCTTGTGCTGTTACACCGTCAGTACCTAGTACTAAGGTATTGCAATGGATGGTAGATAGCTAAGAAGGAAGTGTTGGTAGTTTGCGACTTCCATTCCCCTTGTCATACCAATTGAAGCATCGCTTTGAAAGCGGATCTGAATAGCCGATGGATACAGTCACTTAGTAGGACAAACCGCAGCCTCAAATATTCGGACAGGAAAACGCGTTATCCGGGACACTTTGCCGCCAACCCCGCATTCTAGGTCACGTGATGCATCACTGACTGTGAGGACAGACGGGCAACATGAGGGGAAGATGGAGTACAACCTGCGACACCGTCATGGTCTTTCAGATCATACCTTCGGACAACTAGGATAGAGCAGAATATGGACTACATGGCATCGATCACACTATCGTTCGGCACAAGTAGGTTTCAAAGTGGATAGTTTCGGTGACCGGAAAGGAGGGCCGACTGCAGTCTTCCCTTCAACCGCAAAGTGGATTGAGCGCTCAAGGTGCTAAGGATATGATGTAAATGACAAAAGCCGCCCAGATGCATGACATGATGTGTACCCGATGATGCCCATGGTGATGATCCCGAACAAAAGACAAGAAAGACATACAAGCCCCCGCGCTTCGAAATGCATGCAATCTATAAAAAACTGCGCCATCGCCCGTCTTTAAATCATGTCCTAGAATAGGAGAGGTAAAAGATGCGAGAAATGCATGGCTCGAAAAAGGACGTGAGAGGGAAACAAACAGAAAAACGAGAAAAGAACGAAGCAGCAAAAGGGAGAGTGGAACATGCCGACACCACCCAACCACAAGTGCAGAGTTAAAAAGGTATAATGCCGGACGAGGAACCATTATGAAGGGAATCGAGAAATGAAAAGGAGAATCTAGTGCTGTTAATGCAATACGGCAGGCGCAGATCTGCAAACAACATGAAAGGACATCATTTTCAGTCATCGGCAAATGCAACCTGATTTGACTGGGGTGCCGGTTCGATTTGCGTCAAATCCAGGTTGGCAATGTCCAAATCATCGACACTTGTCCGCGTAGAAGAGAGCAGTCTGCGTTCCTCTTCGGGCGTGGCGTACTCTTTGCCTGCAGCAAAGGAGCCCAAGGAGCCCCGCAGAGGTTTTCCTGCACTCGAGTCACTGCTCGCAACCTTCTCGTTGTCTCTCCGCGGCTCGCTCTCCTCCATCCAGAAGCTTTGGACGGCACCGATGACGCAAACGATGCCACAGGCCCACCATGCGATAATCGAATAGCCACTTTCGAGGCCCTTAGAGTGCAACAGACCCGTGAATGTTGGTCCAAACGCGCGACTGAGACTCGCGGTCGAGGCGGCAGCACCGTTGATCGAACCGAGAACCTTGGAAGAGGGAGCAGCATTGGCAAGCAGAATAGCAGTTGAGGGAAACGCAATGACGTGGAAAGTAATTTTGAAGATGAGAGCCAGGTAGACTGCTGCTGTCTGCAGCATTGACGGCAGAAGAATGAGATATGGGACGAGCAAGTAGAGTGGTGGCCAAAGGAGCAGAACGAATCGGAAGGTTCGCAGTGTTCCAAAATGGCGAACGACGAAAGGGAACAGCCAAAGTTGGGCAATCATAGAGTAGACACCTTGTACTGCAAGCATGAAACCGATCGTCTTCGTGGGAAGACCAAGGCCGCCGGTAAACTTGAACGGCAGGACGACTTTGTCGTCGGATTTAGGGGTGCTGAGAAAAACGGGCATAAGTTGATCAAAGGAGACGCTGTGGCTGTTGAAACATTGTTAGAAAATCGAATCAATCGTCGTCGGAATAAGTACTGGTCTGGACTTACTAGGCAAGAATACCATAAGCGATGATGTTGAAAACCACCTGCTTTGTGAAAGCTTTGGTTGTCCCGCGTTGTTCGCCTTTGGCCTGACCCTCAATGTCGTCGTCATCTGATAGAGCACCCACATCCTTGACCGGGGCCAGCTGAGGGGAGGTTTCGTTGCTTCTGTACTCTGGTGGAGGGACGTCGCCGTAGTCGAAATAGTCAGCTTCGTTAGCTTCCATTTTGATGTCCGTGTCATCCTCTGTCAATTGCACACGGGAGCCCCAGCATTGGGCGACGAGCCAATTGCCCAGCTCGAGACCAGGATCACGGCGATATCTTTTCTCCGGATGAGTTTCCTCAAGAAACAAGAAGCCGACGATAACCCCAAACACCAGGACGACAACACAGACGAGGTTGGGCAGCAGAAATGGGAAGCTGTCGAAGATTGTATGGCGCTGGAACAACCAGGGATAATTCTCGCAGGGCTGTGCCAACGCACCACCCATAGCTGGTCCTATGATCGACCCCAAGCACCAAACAAATGGCATGATGGAGTAAGCCCGAGGTTGGTGTTCCTTGACAGTCACGATCTCCGCAACGGTCGTTTGAAGAACCCCGATGTTTCCGTTGAGGAGACCTCCGAGCGCTCGAGCAATCATGGCGGTTGGCAGGTTGGGAGCGAATCCGAAGACAATCATGCTCATAGCTGTTCCAACCAGACCCATGATCAAAACAGGCTTTCGACCAATCTTGTCGCTCATCCGACCCCAGAACATGCCTGCCGAGAATTCCGCGAATGTAAACGAGGACGTGATCATGCCAGCATAGAGAGCGATTTTGCGATCGTTGTCTGTCACCTTGAATGCCTCTACCATGTGGTAGACATACGGAAAAATGGACATGAATGCAATTGGCTCGCAGATGCGGCATAGTGCTTGAAGCCTGTCAGTTATCCTGAAGATCCAATGGGAATTTTAACTTCAGATGAAGAATTATGTTTGCTCCAATCAAGACGCACATATACATGTTTGTCATACATGAACTCCTCATTCCCATCGAGATCGGGCACATAGCAGAGGGACTGTGGGAGAACATACCTAGCACAAAAAGCTGGCGCACAGGAAAGGCGGACCAATCATCGCGCCCACCATCATGCCGCTGGCGTTGTAAGAATGACGGCCGTTTGAACATCTCGTCGTTTGGGAACCAGTAATGTACTCGGGCCAAGGGAGAACGGGAAATGGCTATAGCAGCGTACGCCAGAATCTCTCTTTCCTGTCAGAAATCGAATGAGGCCGACAGCGAGAGGAGTGTGTCGCCCTAATTTCGCCGTTGGGCTAGAAGGGAGGGAATGCGATTGCGATCAGACTGCGGACGTGAAGAAGAAGAAAACCTCTTGTTAGAGGAACTTCAGCATTGCTTCCTTCTTGTCAATCTGTTTCAGGTGTCTCTCGTTTCAAGGTTCTTGTTTCTCTGTATTCTGTCGTCCCCCTTCCTTTCGGCTTCTTCTCTGTGGCCTCGAAGATAACTCGAGTTCACTACAAGGGAGTCTGAACACAGCAATTCTGGTTGGAACTAGGTGTGTGTAGTCGATGGCTAGAGAGCAACAAAGCTCAACACCAAGTGAAGGATAAGCTGTTGGGAGAAGACGTGTAAATGTATGGAAATGTGTTGGTAGTAGAAGGGTGTGGCAGAGAAGAGGTGAAGGCAGAACAATTAAGCCAGAGGATTCAATGGGACAATGGAAGGATAGAAGAAGGGGATATTGTCGGAAGAAAGGGAAGAGCTTAATTATAAGCAGGAGAAGAGAGAGAGAAGTAATAATCTTCAAAGGAGGATCTGGACGGGAAGGGGAATTAAATGAAGTATCTGAAGTGGATAAGAGGAAGAAGATATGTGATCATTGATCAGGCGAAAAAATAAAATAGAAAAAAAAAATCAATTTGAAAAAGAGAAGGTTAAAAAGTAGAATAAAATCAAAAATAAGAATTATGATTCAAACAGAAAAAAAAAATAATAATAATAAAGTAAAACGTCAACGGTTCAGCATCTGGGACAGGAAGAATCACAATGGAGCCCATTTTGGTTACAGCTGTACAGACTACAGAGGATGATGCAGGATGCAGTCAACAGCAAACAGTCAAGGAACACTAGGACATATGATCCACATTCATATTGTTGATTTTAAGCTATGATGTCTCTAGTGGATAGACAGACATACATACAGCAGAAAAAGGGCAATGAGATGGGCATCCGACTGGGTCCTACATACTCCGTACACAGATAAATAATGACCTATGCTAGCAGCTAGACTGACGGAAGAGAGAATAATAATGACACAGATGAGAAACAAATATTCCGTACTAAGGTAGTAATAAAGCGAAAGGGATGTGGAGCCAATGGCAGAGGTCTCTAAAGACAAGTTTCCAGTC